AATCGAACGAACAATTTGTTTGAGTTTTGATTTTATCCGCTGTATACGAATATATATGTATATGAAATAAATCAAAGAGAGCTTTGGCATTGAAATAATCTTATTATCAGTTTCGTGCAGCAAAGCAGCTGGACCCACCGCTTGAGCTTTGTTTCGTTGTGCAATCGATGAATAATCGACGGAAGGGTTTAAATATTTGTCCTGGTTTACATAATGTTCTCTTAATTTGTTAACACAGGCGGAAATTAAACTATCGCTAGAATTGATTTTATCACGATTTCATTTTACCATTCACCGTATCCTTCGTAGAATGCCTGAAAACACCGATTCGAAAATTTTTCACTATTAAACGATGATTTTTCATCGACAATATGAAAACAAGAAAAAGCCGTGACGTCGGTCGATGAGATTCGATAGGATGTGAGTAGCTCAATTTTAACGTCATATAAGCGACGACGTGATTTCGTGACTGTCCAAAGGCAGACAACTCATAGCTTTCCATAGTTTACGTTCGAACTGGGCTCCTAATAAAAATTTCAACGATTGTTTATGAAAATTATTACAAATAACTTATTTAGTCTCCATAAAAAATATAATAATAAAAAATGGATCTGCCCACGGAGTGAGATGACAAACTTATCATCCTTCTGGTAAGATGACTGTATTTGACTCCAGAACTGTCGAATCTGAAGGGTCGTGAATTTCTCGGAAGAGAAAGATACCTTTAAGTATGGAAAATCAAAGACTGCATTTCTGACATGTAATGCTGCATTATTTTAAAAAAGGCATCAGTGGTAAAGATACCGCAACTGAGATTTGCATCGTGTATGGGAGTTGTGCTACCAGTGTTCAGACAGTTCGTGGCTGGTTTAGGATTTTTAGAACTGGTAATTTTCATCTGGAAGATGAAGAACGCAGCAGCCGTACATCCACTACGGTTATGGAAATAATCAAGGTCATGGTTGATGAAAATCTGCGATGTACTGTTTGGCGGATATTTAAAAAATTCCGCGAACAACGGTGCGCAATAATCTTATGAAGATCGGTTACGTCAATCGCTCTGAAGTATGGGTACCGCATTAGTTGACAGAGAACAATCTCCTTAACTGTATTTTGACGTGTGATCTGCTTCTTCAGCGAAATAAGATTCATTTTTGAAGAGATTGGTTACTGGGGATAAGGCGTTGATTCTTTACGAGAATATTACGTAAACGATCTCGGTCAAGGGGTAAGAAGCCTTTAACAGTAGGAAAGTTTCATCTTCACCCGAAGAAAGTTTTGATGCCAATCTGATGGGACTGGAAAGGTGTAATTTATTATGAACTGCTATTTATTATGAAGGCTTCAAAACAATCAATTCAGTGAAATACTGTTCCCAACTGGACAAATTGGAGGAAAAAATCGCCACAAAACGACCAGAATTAATTAACAGACGTCGTTTTCCAACACAACGCCCCAGGCTCCATTTGTGTTTAACCGTCAGGAACAAATTGTTATCATTTGATTGGGAAGTTCTACCTCATCTTCCATACTCTCCGGATATTCCCCCGTGTGATTAGTACTTCTTTCTTTTATTAAAAAATTCTCTTCGCGGTAAAAAAATTTATTACAAAAAACGACTTTTTATTAAAAATGCACTTAGAACGATATTTTGCTAGCAAATCACAGAAGTTCTGGAAAGATGACATTATGCGGCTTCCGGAGAGATGGAGAAAGGTAACAGAACAAAATGGATCATATATAATTCAATAACCTAGAACAAAAAATTTTGCGTATCTAATGTATCCTTATAAAACGAAAGGAACTTTTGAGACAACCATTTTAAACAGTGACTCCTATATGACAGATAAAACAACTAATTATTATTTAATCATAGACATATGCACATCCTAACTATGACTGTATTCTTTCTTAAATTATCAATTCGTAAAAAAAGTTCGTGAATATTTTCTCAGGCATCATTCGTAATATCAACAGAATTATGAATGTTTTTGGTCGTCCTAAGAAATCATGAATATCTTAAAATTATGAGAAGCTGGCATATTTCTCGGAGACCAGAAATAATAGTTATTTTAAACATTTTTGTGAAAAAAATCAGTAATTTGTTTATTATTCAACTTGTTTAAGAATATTAATTGAGAATATTATAATCCTCCGACTACTGAAGCATGCAGTTCTGTGCCGAAGTCATTTCTGATCCACACGGACATTCCACTAACACATATTTAGATCGCCCGAGCTCACCGATACTAACTATACTAACACAGAGTGATGTCGCTCGAGACCGAGGTCCTCACCGATATTGTACCAACACAGTGACAGACATCCGACTAGTAGGAACATGTAGGAGCATATAGAAACAAATAATAATCACATTATATTTATTTATATTTATACATTGACGAGACAATCGCTGTATCATTGCTAGGTCCAATACGTTACCAATTACGTCCAAATTCCTGGTTTTCTAGAATTACATTATCCACAGTTTCTGATATATTATCTTCTTGCATTTTGACTTCGGAATCTTGCATTTGGAGTTTAGCGTCACTATTTGATACACTTTCGTTGTCTGATGATTGGTCACTGTCAGGAACGTCTTGTGCATATTGAGCGAGAGAAGAGAAAGAAATATTGCTCGTTGGCAATGCGTCAACAAATAGAAACAAATAGAAACAACGGAAAAAGTAATAAAAAGAACAAAAATAATAATTGCTTCGATTTGCACGTCTTTCCTCCTCGGAGCGTTACCAAAAACTGATTCCTTTGTCTTCAGGTTTCGTCACTTTGGCACTTTGGCGGACACGTGTTAGCCACTTGGCGTTCGTGCGTTAGTGCGATCAGGTTTCAGCTACTAACACAAGTAGCTCCCATCACTGTGTGCGTTATTGCATTCGAGTAATTCTCAATACTGGTCAAAAATGACTCCGGCACAGAAGGCGGAGGGTTAATCACAAAATTTGAAGAAAAATTTTCAGAAAAGTACATGATTAAAAAAATCATTCAGTTATAAATAACAATTATAAGTGACAGAAAATTTTTTTAATTACCGATATTATTATTGATGAAGGAAATACATATATATGTGTATTTACTCATAAGCGAACAGTAGTGAAACATTCGCTACCAGCAAGGGAAATTTATTTTGATTGCCGATATCAATATAAAGTATTGTTTTATATTCGACTAAAGCAATAAAATTTTCTCAATCCACACCAAACCAGTGTTTTTCTTGTTCTAATGGAAAAAAACAAATACAAATAAACACAAGTGTACGTGTACTATTCCATATTAATTTACTTCAAAATTTGCAATTCATCGCGGAACATGTATCATCATTGTGCTTCTACTGTGTTAACATTATATCATCATATTTACTTCTATTTATATATAATTCATTAATCAAGCTACGTTATTATTTTGCTATCATTATTATATAAAACTATTGCATATATTAATTTAATATTGTTGCTTTAAGTACATACAACGAAACGGAATTTATTTGTAAATATTTTACTGTTGAAGAAATAACAAACGCTTGCATTGAATTTGTAACAAGCGATTTTTAATCATTTTCACTACTTGAGTCTCACTTTGACTTTTTACTCTTACTGAACAAATATTATAAGGATTACATGGCCCCCAATTACATCGACATACTAAATTAAGTTATTAAGAAGTATTTCTACGTGAAAAATTTGGTTTATTTCTTTAAAAATGGAGATAGCTACAAGACATAAGAAATTAGATATAAATAATTATAAATTTTAGATATAAATATCCAATTATAATTAATAATAATAGAATTTCTATGTATGTACATATTATTTATAGCTTAGATATATCTTAGAAAAAAACATGAAGCTAATAATCTGAAGGAAACATTTAGGAGCCATTTTGCAAAAATTCAATAGTAGTATAAGAATTAAATCAATCATTAATAAAAATCAAATTTACTTTGTAATGATAGACAATGAATGGAACATTATAAAAGCCTTAGAGTTCTGATGTGAATGTCATAGAAATTGATGTAGAAAAACAATTCGATATTGACAGAGATGCTAACAATGAGTAATATGTTAAAGATATGCAGAACTTTAATTACTGCTTTAATCAATATGAAAATATATATTATATGGATTAAATGTGTGGTCCATATGTAATAATTAGCTGTTAAGAATATCATTTAATATCAACATTTTTAACATTAGATAAAAAACAGAAAAAATTATTGGATCTTCTTTATTAGTATTAATGATTACTTTAATTATTACTTATTACTTAGTGATAATATTACTTTTTTCAGATACTCTTTGCAATACTTACAGAGACAATAAGAATAGGGAAATGAATTGAGATTTAACAACTCAGTTCAAGATCGTATTATTAGTATTAAAATTTCAGATTGAAGCGGATATAAAAATATAAACAGTGCAGCTTTCGAAATTTAAAGATATAGCTACAGTCAATGACATCCGAAACAGGATAATCTTGAGTTAAATATACCATCTTTTTAGATCCGCGATTTAAACGGTTTGCGAATTTCGGCGAATTTCAAATATTGAAAAGTGAGACGACCACTGACGCCATAATGGTCTGTGATTATCCATTCTTGTGATTATCCAATATCTAAAAAACACTTTTAATGAGTGCTAACTCATCTTAAATTTTATTGAAAATTTCGAATTAATTACTCAATCTTCGAATGTAATTACGTAATTTGACGCATTTTTTTGCGGAATTTTAAACTCAAGTACCGAATGTTGTTATTTGCGTTTTAAAAGAGTTCTTACTTCAATTCGGTTCCCTCAGGATCTTCAGCATCAGTCCTTAATGATGGTGACAAAATGCGTTCGTGAAACTATAGTCTTTGTGCACGCACAACACTTCTATTGATTACAGATCCGGCTCGAAAGATCATGACTGTAGTACTCACACACATTGCAGCAGATGCGTCGTTGACGCCATCTAACTTCAAGAAATGTACTTCGGTCAAAGGTACTACTCAATGAAACGGTGGTTGGATGGTGGAGTGTTTTAGCAATATGGCTACGTGTCGATTGTGTTATTGCGTGTTTAAGATACAATCATAAATACTACCCCTAGTGGGACGGGTTTTACGATCGTTTAATAAAACCGGCTTGCTGATTGCAAACATGTCAACGATTAACAAATGGGATTTGTCCCAGGAGGACATGAAAAGTGCGTCAAAAGATGAAAAGGTGAGTGGACTGCGACAAGTTTAGTACTATAATTCGATGGTGCCGTGATGCAATCATTTGGCGGGAAATTTAAATTTGAATGATTTCAGGAATTGTTATTAGAGCACGATAGTGATTCGGACGAAAATATGCTGTTTAAGTGAGTTTAATATATTGAAATATAATTATATTTTTTCATTTGGAAGTTTGGAAATTATTCTTCTATGTTCTAATGAGTAATAATAATATTTGTATTTATATTTTAGTCGACCAAGTACATCTGTAGAAACTAAAGTGGATGAAAAAATGGATAAGTAAGACTATTTTCCATTTAATCTGTAAATGAAATTTGATTTTTTAAATGAAATCTGATTTCATACTATACTTTAACATAATAATGATTGCATCATCGATATTTGCTTATTTGGATCCTAGTGTTAGGCTTGAAATTCAAAAGGTCACAGAAGTGATGCGGGAGAATGTACAGAAAGTAATGGAACGAGGAGAGAAGTTGGAGGATCTACAAGAAGCTAGTAATCGATTGACTATGGCCGGAGATGAATTCAGAGCAGCAGCAAAAAAATCTCAACAAAGGGCGTGGTTGCAGAACTTTAAAACAAGAATTATTCTAGTCACTATTACAGTGACTATCGTCATTTGTATTATTGGTATGATGCACGTTATTGCTAGAAAATGCATGATAAAGGCATGTCTCTATAGTGCATTTAAAATAGAAATGCTCAATCATTTATTTCGTAAACTATAAGAACATCAATATTTTAAATCAAAGAAAGAAAAGTAAATGGAAAATGTATTTAAAATACATTAAACCTTAAAAAGATTGAATTTATATATTATATAAATACTTATATTATATAAGTATTTGTGCGAAAACTCGTTATTTTAGTATTTTTCTGACATAAACATAAATTGTGCATTTCTAGTTTACTCATCGAATGTTTGTGTTTATTTATCGTATTATGCACCACGTTATCATTATGCATTCTATTACATTCTTCGTTGCAAATCAGCTATTCCATAAAAAAAGAATCATTTTCGATACGTTTACGTAGTCAGATCGGCGCGTATCGTTTTCAGTTCTGGACATCATGGTGCTTTACCTGGTTCTCAGATAGCGAACACGATGTAGTGACCCTCGATCGTTCGATTTCAGGTATACATCACTGTTTTCCACTTCTAATTTGTTCGCACGATTCCATCTTAGCGTTTCTTATCTTTTTTCTTAACAGATAAATAGATTGTTTATCACAGTTATTGCGAAATTTGTCGCAGCTAACAAGTTAAACAAGATATTGGTTTCTCTTTTGCTTTTTAATACTATCCATTCCTCATTCGGCTTCACACGCGTTTCACATCGCTTTAATGGTTGATTAACGGTCGAATGCGTACGCATTATTGGCGTTTTATTTTTCAGTATCCATCATCATGAAATATTCATAATCGAGGCAGCCAGACTGAAACACTACTGTTTACAAGAGCATGTTTATATTTGTACCTGTCTTTCATGGATTATTATCTACGTGAATTATTATCATAAGTTTATATAAATATATATGTTGTTATTTTCATCCATTCAAGTTTGTCATATCTTCCAAACCTTTGATGTTAAGAAATATCTCTTCGAAATTCCGATTACTTTGGAAAAAATTAAATTTTAATATACATAATAACATAACGCGATTTTTATCTCGTTAAGGCATTAAAAAATATAATACTTTTTGTTCTATTTTCCTTAAAAAAAGTTCTATATGTTATTAATTAATGAATTCTGTATTTCTTAATTCTATATACTATTCTTAATTCTTAACAATTATACATTATATTCTTAAATTATTAAACATGAATTAAGATCAATTAGAATTATAAGAAGAAAGAAGCTCTTTCGCGCATTATTGCAAAATTTGCTCGCATAAGCGAACGCAACTACGATTACAGAACACGAGCTCCCCCACTATCAATAACGAATACTTATACGTTTCGCGAGAGTCTACACACATCGGTAGTCAGCCGCATCGTGTACATTGTACACGGTCGTTAAACGAATATTCAGTCGTTGTTCGATCGCGACATCGATTGCTTGCTCGCGTCGTCCGTACTCATTGTTGAACGTAAATTCGATTTAGCGCAAATTTTTTTGCTCTTTTTATTCTTTTTTATTCTTTCTTATGCGATCGAACACTCATCGGCAGATCTAAGCGCGATTTTCACATTAGTCAATCATGGGAATATACGAGATGGTGGTCGCGGCTATATCCGTATTTATCGGCGCCTATCTACTCACGGGAAAAAGACGACGTTTCATTTACTTACTCTACAAAACTTTGCCTAGAGACGTGCTGTGAGTATTTAGAAAAGCTATTTATTGGATTAAATTGGGAGAATACCATCATGATGCGAAATACCATCGTGGCATAGCTGTTTCGTTTCTGACGAAATATGATCCGATGACATAATTATTTTCTTTCACCGTTGGTATTTACGTGAAAATATTTTAATCAAACAGATTGGTTGCGTCATGTATTAATTTGGGTAACAATATTATTAATAAAAGCACGGATGATCTGTTCCGCAAACGACCTTCGAACCATGGTTGACGTTTAGTGATATTGCGAGACCACGTGCTTGTGTTGATAATCGAGGGCTGCACGATTGCAGAATAAAGGAAACATTAAAATAATCATTAAGAAAACGATTCTAAAAATAATCATTCGCGATCCATTCATGCGAGTTTTTTGTTGAAAACGCTTTCTTAACCATTTCCATCTATGCCTCTATAAAGACTCCTTATTTAAACACTTTCGAAAAAAGCGTTTAAATAAGGAGCGTACCTGTTTCGTATATATGCTCATTACGGTACTAAATTCTTAAATAAATATCTCTAATCCCGGATGTCGTTTCAAATGACATCTGAATAGACTATCAGGCTTGGAATTATACACATCATGCTGCAATATGTATACGGCAAGTTCCTTCTCCTAACTCATTCTTTACAATTAGATCACTTACGATACTATTGAACGCGAGCAAAGGTCCTGTGTCGAGTGAATCCACGCGTGAACGCGTGATCGTATTAGTTATTCAAGCGAGTTTGTGAGTTTTAAAGAATTGCAAGAATCCGTAAATATACAAAAGAGTTGTTAAAATTGTACGTATTTTGATAGAAAATACAGCTTCTGTTCTATAAAGATATTCGAAATGCATGTTTTCATTGTGAGTAGAAGTAAGAATATTCTTTGTGAATGCGTGTAGTTGGCTATATGTTCATTGGCGAATGCATCCCGCGCATTGTGCTACCGTGAACGACTATTGTAGAACCAATATGAAGTGCATGGAATTTAAACAGTCGGTTGAATAACATTGTTTTGAAGCCGCATATACGCTCGATGGCTCATCGCATCGTGTTAATGTCTCGAAGTTTTGAGAGTTTCGAGATTGAGAAGATTTAGTTTTGATTGGCTCGATCTTACTTTCTAATTTTCTTTTGTCCTTTCATTTAATATATAATTGTTTGACGACGGCGCGGGTTTGATCAAAATTTGATTACAGGGCAGTTTTTTTTTTTTTATTACGAAAAGAAACGAGCAAGATTTTTTTGTACTTGCAGTAAAGAAGAATTAAATTTGGCGGCATGAATGAATAAAAATTTTCCAAACATATTTTTGATATTTTGATATCCAAAATTATAGGATTGTTCTAAACTATAATTGTGTATAGTGTGCTTCATTTTATTGATACTTGGATTTCCTATAGTGGAGTGTTCGTTCGATCGATACATTGATCATACAAACCACTCAAATAGCATTTATCAGCATTTAATCCTAGTTCAAGTTATATATTGTTAATAACTCCGCTTGAAAGCTTTTTGAGATTATATATATGTATGTTTTAATTGTAAAAAAGCAACTTTATCTACTTTTAAATTAAAAAAGAAAGAAAAATATTAACCTAGAAATTGACAACTTATATTATTAGGTATATTATTAGTCTTATTTCTACTTACTATGAATGTTTATGCAAATTCATATTTTTATTAAAACAATTAATGAAATGAACTCAAAAGTAGAAATTTCAACTATTTCAATTATTAAATCTTATAATGTCGTATTAAATCTTATAATGTTTCTGTATTTTGAATATTTTATAGAATTTTATATATTTAATGCTTTCTACAGGTTTCTGTATTTTCAAATTTCCTATAAATTTAATAAACATCCTCTTATACATAATTATCAGTATGCTCGAAAAGTACATAGTATGATAAAAAATCCAAACGTTACATTTTTATATCTCCTCACGCACTTGTAAATCATAGAAATAAAAATTATTGCAGATCCTCTTACTATTCTTTAACATCGATGTATTGTTAAAATCCAATAACTTATAATATATACTTATATAGTAAATACTTAACTAAAACTCAATATCTAATCACTATTAATAAAGTCAAAAACTATTCAGACAAGACTAAAAGAAGAATTGAAAATCATTTACATACACAGTGTTTTATACGATAATTGTTTCATTTTTTAAATTCTGATTTTGTATGATTTTACATCGATTGAAACAAGGTATGAGGTTTTACCAAGAGGCGTCACATACAAACGATTGCAACAGGTTGTTGAAATATCAGATATAAGAAGGACGATGGTGCATTGGTTTATTTCTGTTCCAGGGGCTATTGCACGCGTTATGCGTGTAAACATCATTTGCAAAATTTTCTTAACGAAAGATAAACAGGTAACAGCCTTGTCCACGAACGAGTGCTGGATGCCAGCGTTTGCATTCCATTAAGCGTTGGTCTATCGCGACTCGAACAGCAACTGTCTTATTTGCCCTGTATCGGAGCATCTTAACCGTTACAGTTTCCTAGAGAGACTACAAACATTTCTCCTCTATTATTATTATTATTATTATTATTACTATCTCCTATTATTACATAATAGTTAATGTTTTAGTATTGGACAGAATTGAGAAGTTACAGGAAACTATAAATTCGTGTATTTGTATATAATGACTTTAGCAATTTCGTGTACATAATTTGAATTTCAAATAAAGGATGATATTCTATTCGTTGAAAATTGTAATGTCTCTAAAGTAATGTAAATCTCAATTCACTGATGAGTTATAACGTTCATGATATCACGAACAAATGTTACACGTCAGCATTTCATTAAAATTTAGTTTCCATGATTGATTTAATACACAACAAGTAATTAAATTCAATAAAAATTAAATATTTTGAAAACGGCCATAATTTTTTTTTAAACAATTTTAAAGAAGATAAGAAAGTTGTCTAGATATAGTTGTCGCTTATTTGCAACCCTGTGAAAATCTATTATGAGATTAATGCATGTCAACGAAACCGCAGCCGAGGATTATCCTTATACCTAGCATGCAGAGCTTGCTTCGTTATTTTATTTAATTTCATTTAATCACCGTGGAAGTACTGGAAGGGGCTGACCGCTGGTGTCGTATGCTCACCGCGATACAAGAGCTTCAACAAAGACGTAATTTTCCAGAGACATAGAGCAATCCTTATGTATTTCTAGCATTAATAACTTATTTTTAACCTTATAATATGATATTACTTTAAATATTCATACTGTTCGTTTTACATTTTAAATTAGTCAATTAATTCTGAATAAATTATATTTTCTTAAAAACATATAAGAGTTTAGATCAAAAGAAAATATCCCTATTTAACGAATTTTAATATGAAGGAAATCGCAATCTTTTATTAACTATTGATTTGTTACATTTATTTTTGATAAAATAATTGGTTAGATATGCAGAAAAGAATGGCGAAAATATAGCATTCGTGTGGATGGACGCAACGCGCGTGTCGAGCGCGAAATTACTCAATTGATTTAGAAAGAGAAGAACGTATCGTTAGAGAGGAACGTATGTAACGATGCGCGACAGAGAAACGCATCATTGAGTCAGAAAACATGTAACCATCTATTCATTGCCCGTACCCTAATTTGTTTCTAATCATTTCATTTGATCCTTTTTCTATTAATTTCTTTCCCATCATAGAAATGCATTGCATACAATCCACGGAGTTACCTTTAAAAATAATACTACTTAAATCCTATGCGACTATATAATTTATATTGTAATTATCTTTTTTATTTTCTGTAATGAATAATCAATCATTTTCAAATTATTTCATTCGATCATTATTTTTGATTATTTGTTTCTCGATATCTTTGATTAAAAAAATGCGTCAAATTTCGCAACAACGATAAAGATTCTAGTAAATAAATGTACAAAGATCAAAATTAACAATAAAAAATGATTTTGTTTCGAAAATAGGGGAGCATATAGGTTTGTTCGAGTGAACGTGTTACTATGGTGGTGGGAATGGCGAAAATTTACCGTGGCGAAGTTATTCACGAGACATGCCACTGCTAATCCCGACAAAATTGCCTTTATCTTCGAAGATAAAGAATGGAGTTATCGGGAGGTGAGTTGAAATAATTATAGTCTGCAGAGCAATAGAGTAATGTTTCTCATTGACGAATGCAGTTGGAAGAATACAGCAATCGATTAGGACGTTACTTCCATGGAAAATCTCTGTCTCGCGAAGATACAATTGGCCTGATTTTGGAAAGTCGACCTGAATACGTAGGAATCTGGCTGGGCTTGAGTAAAGCTGGTTTAGTAGGTGCTCTTCTTAACACGAACCTTCGTCAGGATGTCTTGGTGCATAGTATCAAGGCTGCTAATTGTAAGGCTGTCATCTTTGGATCAAGTTTTAAAGATGGTAAGATCAAATTGTTTCTAGAATCGGAAACAAGGAATAATAATTTCTCAGAAAATACTGAAGTACATCATGTAGTACAAATACATACTTTATTTAAAAGTAAGATGCATAATGAATATTACAATGAATGCAGGCATAAGTTAGTTCCATATTTTTCTTTTATTCATATAGTAACATCATTTAGTTATTTGTAAATTATTATGTGAAATAAATTGAAACTGGAATCAATGCAATTTTCTCTCTAGCGATTAATGAAATCAGGGAGAGAATTCCGCATGTAGCACTGTATCAGTGGTCCGAATTGTCCAATACTTCATGCCTGGAAGGAGCAATCGATCTCAATCCAGAAATCAGCAACGTCGATATTAGCCCTCTAGACACCGTGGCTTTTGGTGTTCCTAGAGACAAATTGATTTATATATACACATCTGGTACCACAGGAATGCCGAAAGCTGCCGTTATTACCAATTTAAGGTATATCATATTCTTATTTTCTTTTTTGATTAATACTTTAGCCGATCGATCATCTTCAATGACAGCTATAAGAAAACAAGACGCGAGAACAATTTTTATCCTTCAAACTGTTTACTAAGTTTATTCATTTTTTTACAAACACTCTTACTAGAAATGATTAGCATATGAATAAGTAAATTCTTGGTATTTTGATAATATTCAAATTTTCTTATTATATTTTGTTATATTTGCATATTGTTTTTTTATGTAGAAGAAATATAAAACTTCAAGTCTACATAATGCTCGTCACGAGTATCATTCTGTATTGCAACGTTTTATCATACGGTTATTGACGACTAATTATCATTCTAGATATATGCTGATGTCGTGTGGTGTGAATTTCATGTTAAACCTACGACCAACCGATCGCATTTACAATTCTTTGCCACTTTATCACACGGCTGGGGGATTAATTGGAGTAGGTCAAGCACTGCTGAGAGGAATCACAGTCGTACTTCGCAGACGGTTCAGTGCTTCCAAGTTCTGGCCGGATTGCGTTCATTATGAATGCACTGTAAAGTTATTTATACATTATTGTTTTAGATTTTGTACTAATACTGATAGATTTAATAGTAATTTAGCTTGAACTTAAATGTCGATAAAATCTTGTACACATTTCGTTTTTTTTTGTTCTTTGAACTTTAGATTTTCAAACTATTAAAGCTAGTTTTGATTTATTCAAAATTGACATTATTACAAGTATAATTCATTGCATGAGAGAATATTGGTCATAGGTAGCACAATATATTGGTGAGATATGTCGGTATCTGCTCACTGCGCCACCAGCTCCTTGCGACACTACACACAAAGTTCGATTAATGTTTGGAAACGGTCTCAGACCTCAGATTTGGAAGCCTTTCGTGGAGAGATTTGGTGTGAAGCATATAGGTGAATTTTACGGTGCCACTGAAGGAAATTCAAATCTTGGTAATTCACGCTTACTTCATATTTTCTTTTTTTCTTGATTCCGATTGTAAATTATTATTTTTCTGAATTATTTTCAGTGAATATCGATAACAAGATTGGTGCAGTGGGATTTGTACCACTCTGCGCTGGTTCTTTGTACCCTGTAGCTTTGTTGAGAGTTGATGAAGAGACTGGCGAACCTATGAGAGGACCAGACGGCCTGTGCATCCGTTGCAAACCTGGTAATAATAGATTTTATGTTTAAAACTTCGAAGCCTTAACTTTTCTTTGGCAATTTTTTTATTTTCGTTTAGGTGAATCAGGTGTCTTCGTAGGTAAAATTAATCCAAAGAGAGTGTTGAATGATTTTTCTGGATATGTAGATAGAAAAGCATCAGAACAAAAAATTCTTCGCGATGTTTTCCGAAAGGGAGACAGAGTCTTTAATTCTGGTCAGTGAAATAAACCGATAAAGAATATAAAAAAATATTTATAATTCAACTATGTTCTTTCTATAGGTGATATATTGCTCATGGATGAATTTGGGTACTTTTATTTTAAGGATAGGACTGGTGATACATTTAGGCAAGATATTTTTGTTATGATATTTTAATTATGTAGAGTTACATTTTATAATTTAAAGTCTGTTTTTAATTTTTATAAATGTAGGTGGCACGGTGAAAATGTCGCTACATCTGAGGTAGAAGCTGTTGTTAGTAATTTGATAGGTTTAAAAGACGCAGCTGTGTATGGAGTCGAGGTAATTGGTAATGAAATTTAATCAATTTTTATACTGGGTAAATTTATAAAGTTGTGCAATTAACAGGTACCTGGAACCGAAGGAAAAGCTGGAATGGCTGCCATTTATGATCCAGAAAATACTCTGAATATTAAAGAAATGGCAGATGGTTTGAAAAAATCTTTGCCGTCATATGCCAGACCTCTTTTTATTCGAGTCTTGTCAGAATTACCAATGACCGGCAAGTATTTTAATAAATTTATTTATTCAAGTATTTTCCAATCAATATTATAATTCATTTATGTCAATAATTCGAAGTTTTTATTCCATTAGGCACATTTAAGTTGAAGAAAAAAGATCTTCAAGAAGACGGATTCAATATTAAAAAGGTATTTTTTTATAAAAAAGTAATATTTTATATTTAATATTTCACAATGTGTTATTTGTGCAATTTTATTTGTACAGGTTACGGATCCAATTTATTTCCTTGATAATTCTGGTGTTTATGTGAAGCTGTCAGAACAGATTTATAACAATATACTTGAGGGAAAAGTTCGATTGTGAGAAATCCTTAAGAAAATGAAAGTATAAGAAATCTCGACTTTGTATAATTTTTATTTATTGATGAGAGAAAAAGTCTATTAGACAGATTTATCTTTTGTCTACACAAGTATTCGCAGCCATCCCGAACATTTCATCACAAACAAATTAGCTGGAACAAATATATTTATAAGTATTTTTATACTTATTTTATTCTACTTTTTTTTATTGTTGAAATTCAATAATTCAGAATAGTAAAATTTAAAAAACGAAAAAAAAGGCGAGAGAAACAAATAGATTTAGTACATTTATAATATATTTAAAAGAAAAATATTCATGACAAACACTTACATCCTGCAAATTACTCAAACTGTTAATTTTAATGGGCTAGATGTATTTGTATTTGTTACATATCTCTAGAGAATAAGATTTTAAGTTATTTTATAAGAAGTTGGTGGAGGTAGTAGCACAAAGTGATGGTAACTCTGTAAAGTAACGTGTGTAAATTTGAAGCGTCGTGTCGTAGTTTAATAAATTGTCCCCTTGTTGAGAAAAACCAATTCGAGTTGGACTTTGTCCTCTGAAGGTGCCTTACTTTACGCCCACCCGAAGTGTTGTCTCTAATAGCAGAAGTCATTGGTGCGCAGTCTCGGTCGGAGTACAGTGACCTTCATTATTAGACTAACGTGTAATATCTATCGGATCTAATATTCTTTGCTATTTGCACTTACTACAATGGAATTAACGATTTAATAAAAAAATATATTCACCATCAGAAATTGGTGAAATAATTTTGTTTACTTAAATTATTTAATTTCGGAAAATATTACTTCCTGAAATTTCTCCAGAATGAAAATGACATTTCTATAATAATCCCAATTAGTCATAGTGACATCATATTCTAACTTTTATCGTTCATAGATAAGAATGGTCTACAAATTCATTTCAAGAAAATTTTGAGGACAGACTCGAATTTGTCATCATGTTACATAATCGGCCATTATCAAAACAAGGAAATGGAAAAATACTAATAATCTATTGTGTCGATCGTTTCTACATTGCTGCTATCGAGTATACTATATCAGAGAATATTTGATAAAACAGTTGCAAACTAAGTGCTATCATATTAACAAGAATCAGTCATTATTGATAATTATTAATTATATTGATTGTTTCTATCATTATTGTATCAAAAGAAGAAAAGAAAAAAAAAAAACAGTCTTTTCGACAATCATTGTGTATTCTGAATTCTTTTTAATAATTAAAAATTAGTTGTCCTGTGTCTATCATTTGTGACATTATAGCAAACACGCCCAAGCAGTTTGCTCTGTTTGCTCTGTTATGTATACATTGTTTAAATCTATCAACTCCAAATCTTATCAAGCTGTGTACAAATTGATTAAAAGTTTACTGTGTACAAATTTTAATCTGCTTTCGAGCTGGATTTTGTTTCTTCTGGTTTCTGACCGAAATTATAACCGCACAATTCCTCGAACATTTGTCGAGCAGACACAATGTGTAAAATGGGCCACGAGAAATTCGAGTTTGCTATAGATCGCGGCGGTACATTTACTGATATTTACGCTAGATGTCCAGGCGGTAAAATTCGAGTGATGAAACTGCTTTCTGTGGATCCTACTAATTACGAAGACGCACCACGCGAAGGAATTCGCAGAATTCTTGAACAGGTATTTCTAATTGTCATCTAAAAACTTACTTGATATCTAACATAGAGCAATTTCAGGAAACTGGAAAAAAAATCGATGGGGAAATAGATACCTCGTTAATATCATGGATTCGAATGGGTACAACAGTTGCCACAAATGCTCTTTTAGAAAGAAAGGGTGCGAAAATGGCACTTTTGATTAACGAAGGATTCAAAGATCTACTTTTCATTGGTAATCAAGCACGACCAAATATATTTGATTTGGTATGTATTTAAATACACTGTTAAATTAATATACAATTTGAAATAATTCAATTGAAGTAATTGCAAAACATGTTCTTTTCTTTTTAGCAAATAGTGACTCCGGAAGTATTATACAAAAAGGTAGTTGAAATCAAATGCAGAGTGATACCTGAGTTACCTGGGAAATGTCAAATGAATAATAAACAATGGCGCAGAGTAACCGGATCTACGGGCGAAGATCTTTTTATCACTCAAGAACTTGATGAAGAAAAGTTAAAACTAGATCTGGTTGAGTTAAAAAAATCAGGAATTGAAAGTTTAGCCGTAGTTTTGGCGCATAGTTACACGTTAGTTTCAAACATCAGTTATGATCTAATTTAATATTTTATTAAATTTTGTTCATATTTGTTCATTTATTTTAGGTTTGCTGAACATGAGATAAGAGTAGGAGAATTGGCAAAACTTGCTGGTTTTCAGCAAGTTTCGCTTTCTCACGAAGTTATGCCTATGGTGAGAATAGTTCCTCGAGGATTCACTGCTTGTGCTGATGCATATTTAACACCACATATTAAACAATATTTGCAGGTATCTTTTTTAATATACTTTTTCAATTAATTGCTCATATATATAATAATTAAATGTATTTTAGAGATTCTCCTCTGGTTTCACAAATAAATTGAAAGAGGCAAACGTTTTATTCATGCAAAGCGATGGAGGATTGACACCGATGAATTCGTAAGAGCAATTTTATTGAATTAGTAAAGACACTGCTAAAAACACTTAATAGAATATGTCTTTCTTTACAGATTTAACGGATCTCGAGCTATTCTTTCTGGCCCTGCAGGTGGAGTAGTTGGTTACGCAATGACTACTTATGGAAAAGAGACCAATTTACCAGTGATTGGGTTTGATATGGGTGGCACTTCGACTGATGTCAGTCGTTATGGTGGCAATTATGAGCATGTATATGAGAGTACAACCGCTGGTGTCACGATTCAGGCTGCACAGGTATTTCTACTTTATAGACGCTTCAAGCTTTTTCAATTCTAATAAAATAATTGTTGACACAAGTTATATAAATTGTCGAAATTAATAAAGTAATGATTAAATTAATTATTAAATTGACAAAATATGAATTAATTATTAAATTGACAAAAAAAAATCTCGCAAATGGAATAAAAAGAGAAATTATTGAGATAAAAATCGATGTTAGTCGAAATGATTTAAAAGATAAATAACATTTTGAAACAAATTTCAAAATTGGATTGAAGTTGGACGTGAACACAGTTGCGGCCGGAGGTGGATCGATGCTTTTCTTCAGGTCAGGTCTCTTCGAAGTTGGACCTGAGAGCGCTGGAGCTCATCCCGGTCCGGCATGTTACAAGAAAAAAGGTCCTCTGGCTGTTACTGACGCGAATCTAGCTTTGGGAAGACTTTTGCCAGAATATTTCCCGAAGATATTTGGTCCGAATGAGAACGAACCACTGGACAAATCTCGAACGATAGAGGCTTTCCAAACACTTACGAATCAAGTATAAAGATCATTCTTTCTTAAAACATTGTCATAATATAATGTTAAATGATCAGTAGCTTATTGAAAAATTAACTCTGATTTATAGATAAACGAATTTCTAGCGACAGGGGGACATGGAACAAAAATGACCATCGAAGAAGTGGCAATGGGATTTATCAGAGTAGCTAATGAAACCATGTGTCGCCCAATACGAGCTTTAACGCAGGTATATAATAAATTGTAGGAGATTTTTTTAACATTTTTACATTACACATATACATTAATGTTTTAATTCATTTAATGTTTTAATTCATTTAAAAAGTTCCTTTTTTTCAAATTAGGCAAAGGGTTATGATACATCCCGCCACGTTTTGGCGTGCTTTGGAGGTGCCGGAGGACAACACGCGTGTGCCATTGCACGTTCTCTAGGAATGGGAACTGTCTTTGTTCATAAATATGCTGGAATTTTGTCAGCTTACGGAATGGCTCTGGCAGATGTCGTGGAAGAAGCTCAAGAACCTAGTATGGAAGTTTATGAAAAAGGTGTCTGAAGAAAATATTCCTATATTTTTACTATTTAAATTTTGATGCAAATTTTTTAGTTTTTCTCTGTTTTCAGAATCATTTGCACGTTTAGATGAACGTTTAGATGTCTTGGAAAAGAAGGTTCGAGAAAAGTTGACTGCTCAAGGATTTCCCGACTCTCATATAGAAATAGAATCTTTCTTACATTTACGCTATGAAGGAACAGATTGTGCTCTAATGTGTACTGCTAGTCAAAATACTCAAAAGAAAGGCATGAAGCATGGAGATTTTCTTACTACATTCCTGGAAAGGTAAAGTTTAATTATATAAATATAAAAAGAGAATAAGAAATATAAATATTAATCATAATTATATTAAATAAAGATACCAAATAGAGTTTGGTTTCATCATGCCCAATCGAAAAATTTTGGTGAACGATGTAAGAGTAAGAGGCATAGGAAAAACAGATATCCAGATAGATCCAATTTTACCTTCTTCCAACGATGAACCAAAGTTAGAAAAGGCAAGCAAAAGAAAGATATAATCAATCCGGAAGTTAATATAATAGGACTAAATAACAAAACATAAGTTTTTCTTTAGACTACTATGGTGTATTTCGAAAATGGTTACCAGGAAAGCAAAGTGTACCAATTACATTCTTTGTCACCTGGCCACGTGATTCAGGGACCAGCTATCATAATGGACAGTTTGAGCACACTTTTAATCGAACCTGATTGCACCGCATTGATTACGTCTCGCGGTGATGTGAGGATAACAATTGGTCAAGGGCTACGGTCCAAGGTTACGTCCGACTTGGATACCATTCAATTGAGTATCTTCTCCCATCGTTTCATGAGCATTGCCGAACAAATGGGCAGGTAGATGGAAAATACAGTCTAGGAAATTTATTTAGTAAATAAAGTACATGGTTCTGATAAACTGACATGTTGCCTTTAAAGGATTCTTCAGCGAACTTCTATCTCGACAAATATCAAGGAGCGTTTAGATTTTTCCTGCGCTGTTTTTGGTCCTGATGGTGGCTTGGTTTCTAATGCTCCGCATATACCCGTGCATCTAGGTGCTATGCAAGAGACCGTTCAGTATCAGATGAAAGTTTCCAAAGGTGAATTTTCAGAAGGAGATGTGATTCTTGCGAATCATCCCTCTGCTGGAGGATCGCATCTTCCAGATCTTACTGTCATTACACCAGTTTTTTACAAGTATTCATTCTTTATTATTTTATCTTAGAAAATCTTAGAAAATTATAATGATGATGATTTTATTTATTTGGAACGTATTTTTGCTTTTGAACAGAGATGTGAAGAAACCAGTATTCTTTGTAGCAAGCAGAGGACACCACGCTGATATAGGAGGTATTACACCTGGCTCCATGCCACCGCATTCAACTTCTTTGCTTCAAGTATGAAAATTCTTCAAAAATTTCAATGAAAAATTCTTTCTAGCTTTAATTAATGTTTGTTTTTCCTCTTTGTTGAGTGTCTACACTATGACTATTAATATATAATTAATTAATTATATTTCTTTATAGGAAGGAGCGGCTTTCAAGAGCTTCCTACTTGTACATAAAGGCGTGTTTAGAGAAAAAGAGTTGACGGAAGCGTTAATGGCACCTGGAAAAATTCCAGGAAGTTCCGGAACTAGAAATTTATCTGACAATCTGAGCGATCTTAAGGCGCAGATTGCAGCTAATCAAAAAGTATTTGTCACGATGACAATTTTGGCCTTTCATTCATAATTTTCGATAAATTTCTATGTTATAGGGATCGCTATTGGTCAATGAATTGATCGATATATATGGTCTCGATGTGGTGCAAGCTTACATGGGCCATATTCAACACAATGCTGAAGTTGCTGTAAGGGATATGTTAAAATCTGTTGGCAAACGGCTGTTTGAACAAACTGGGAACACCGTAACAACTGCAATAGATTATTTGGATGATGGAAGTCCTATTCAATTTCTCTTGAACATTGATATAAACAAGGGTGAAGCAGTTTGCGATTTTACGTAAGTCTTTTTCTTTCTTATATTAATAGAATTATGATCCTCAAGATTTTTAATTTAAAAACTTTAGTGGTACAGGTTATGAAGTGTGGGGTAACTGTAATGCGCCTAGAGCTATTACTCTTTCTGCATTAATTTATTGTTTAAGATGCATAGTAGGTAGAGACGTTCCTTTGAACCAGGTAACATTGTTTTTTTTTTTTAAATTATTCTTCATTTGCTTACTAGATATAAAAAAAATTGTTATTAACCATTGTTATTAATCATCGAATAATTTATTTCATTTTCAGGGTTGTCTAACACCCGTAAAGATATTTATTCCAAAAGGATGTCTTTTAGATCCTTCAGAGGAAGCTGCAGTAGTTGGTGGCAATGTGCTCACGTCTCAACGAGTGGTTGATGTAGTTCTACAAGCTTTTGGAGCTTGTGCAGCGTCACAAGGTTGCATGAATAATATAACACTTGGCACTGAAGAGTGGGGTTATTATGAGACAGTCGCTGGAGGCAGTGGAGCAGTAAGAAATATTTTCTATTTCTTTCATCTAAACTAGTAATATTTAATTGTTGAAAAATTATTTACAAAGGGTCCAACGTGGGATGGTAGAGGAGGGATTCATACGCATATGACAAATACAAGAATCACTGATCCAGAGATATTAGAACTTCGTTATCCTGTTATTCTTAATAAGTTTTCTCTTCGACCTGCCAGTGGAGGAATTGGTACTCATACTGGTGGTGATGGAGTTATTCGAAAAATGACATTTAGGTATTTCTATCATATTGAAAATTTTCTAAATGACACATGGTTGTACATGTACTTGAAATTCTATAGAGCACCGATGACGTTATCTGTATTGACGGAAAGAAGAGTACATAATCCACCAGGATTAGCAGGAGGACAACCAGGTCAGAAAGGAAAAAACACATTAGAAAGAGCTGATGGTCGAAAAATTAATTTAGGTCCTAAAACTGCGGTATCAGTGTACCCAGGGGTAAGAAAAACGGCAATTTTTTCACAGAACCAGCAGTTTCTCGTATAGAAATACAACTTGCATAAATTTTATATATTACACGATAAAAAATGACACGAAAAAAAAAAAAAAAAACAGCAAATTGTGTGGATTTCAAGAAAGCAAAATGTGTTGAGTCACAAAAGATTTGATCTCAGCTATGATCGGAACTGTTTGTAACTCGTTGCTAGCAATGTTTCACAGTACATATAGCTTGGAAAAATTTGCGTCGATATTAGTTGCATTCTTATTGAAACAGCAAAACAAAATTATACTTCGCACAACTGTTTAGACCGTGGAGAAGATAGAATACGTTTATTGGTTTCCAACTTTTCTTGTTGGAACTTGTTTCTCTGTTTATGTTCGTAATATCGAATTCACATGTTTCGTTGTTTGCAATTTCATTTCTACTGAAAAATACAAGCAAACGTCGAGTATTTCTTGAATTGTTCGATATTTCTTAAATATCAACATTTTTTATTATAGGACGCATTTATTCTGGAAACTCCTGGAGGTGGTGGCTATGGTCATCCCGGTAAAAAGATATCATCAGTTCAGAGAAAATCTCAAGGATTCGTGGAACGCGGCAGCGTGTTTGAATACAGAAAAGCACAAGAATCCGTGTAATATATACTTGTAATTGCACATATGCAGTAACGGCAATTTAATAATCGTAGAATGCGCACAATATTCTTTGTGATTATATCAATGAAAAACAATAAATAGAAAGTGAACAAATATTCGACATTGATTTGATCGTCCATTCCGTCGATGTTCGATTACGACCAATATAATAACGATAGAGCTGGTAGTAAGAGGGTAATTTAAACGTTCAATTTATCGTTAAATGGTTTATTCAGAAGTTTCTTAATAAATCGAAGCGAGAACCGAATCAAATTTACTGGAGCTAGCATCGATTTGCCTGCACGGTTCATTCGGGAACGGCACACAAGGCTACTATTCCATTTCCGGTCGCAGTAATTGCTGACCGAAATATCGCGGCCTCTATACAGTTACACAAGTCGAAACTTCCGATTGCACTTCCATTTGCACAGAACGTTTCTTAGAGACGCATACAATTTTCATCCAATATTCATGCATTCCCAACTAAATTTCCATTTCATATAAGAAATAGAAAGAAAATACTATTGCGAGCAAATAGAAAATCGTTCGATTCCCCTTCTCGAAACTATGAATAGAACTCTCATTGATGTTCACCGTATACTGGTGTGCTGAAAAACGAAAGTCGAGAGCTCTTATTTCGTAGACTTCTGCTAGCTAAAAAGCTTCTTTGTGCACTCTTCTTTTCATCCTGAAACACGAACCGAGGAACGTCCACTGTGTCGCATTAAAATGCAATACGACGTGGCGGACCGCGTGTTAAGGTTCATTCACAATTAGCTTGTCTAAACGAGCTGATCGTAAAGCTTGTACGTGACGATTTATAAAGGAATGAAACCGAGACGTTTTTCCAGTAGTAGTAAAACTTGAATTTCCTACGATTTTTTGAAAGAATGGTAATCGTTTAAGAAAATGCTGATTGAAACGGAAAGATCATTTCCTTCGTTCGCGAATTAGTGCCTTTGAAAACTATAATATAATAATATTGTTTAAAATTGCCGCTTTCGCCGATTATTTCGACTTATTTCGGAGAGAGGCAGGCACGTTGCGTTATGATCACGAAACGATAAACTTTTTCTGAGAATGTTACGGATGCTCGCGAAGGGAGAAGCAGAAAAGTTGCACGAAAAACGACGATAGTTGGGCAAAGTTTTGACCTCACTTTTGCCCAAGTTATATCCTTCTCAACGATACGCGCGCGTGCCGCGACCAGTATAGCTGATATCTTTCCGGAAATCTTGCTGTCGTTTGAAGAAAATTTCGCCAAGATTTCACATGAAAATATTTTCAAAGCGTTTTCCTACATATGAAATATGTAAGATACCGGTCATCGGTTTTCTATCGATCACCGATCTATAATTTAGTTTCTTTCGTTGAATATCCTCGAAATGCTTATTAGTTTGTCAAACAGATCCATCTGTGTTTAACTTGATTCAAAATACCGATAAATTATTTATCGATATTCTTTTTTTTTTATACTTTATATTCGTTTTATCATAGTTTTCCGATAATGAAAGTAACAGGCTGCGCAAACATTAATTAAGCCATGTTCATTCAACTGTAATAAGCTTGAAGACGTTTTATAGTTTACGCAATGTTTTACCAAACTGAAACACCTGTCATATACTCCTATAAAACCATGTTTTCGTTTAAGAATCAGGAGATCAACTGAAAACAGTTCAAATTAACACTTCTTGTTACGATGTGGATACCTTCAATATTTTTCTTTCTCTTCGCGTTTCATTGCATCTGTCTGTTCTCAAGTGCCAATTGCAAAGAACAATTGATTCGAGATGGAAATTCCGAACACTTGAATCCAAACCTAGAAAACTCGCCAGTCCACGGTCGAGTAATTACGTTGGAAAAGAAACCTGCGGCCAACAGTGAAGCGTTTGACAAATTTCCGGCGTTTCGTTGGAAATACTTTGGTCAGGTAGGTTCAAATGACAATGCGGACTAATTATCCCGGTCATTCTTTCATTCTGTTCACTCGAAAGGTATTTTTTTTTTGTCAAGAAAATCGCCACAATGAGCTAAATAGATTTTTAGAAGGAATTTAAATTTAGAATTTCTTTTTTTTTTCTAGAAATCGATCGAAAATATCACATCGAAAAATCAGCAAGTTCGTAGTTCTCTAAAGAATAAACACGTAATATACACTGATAAACTTCGTCCAACCATCTTTGTACAACCAGAACGCAACGGTTTTCAAGAAAACGAGCAACTTCCCTTTCGAAAATTGAATCGGAGATCGACGCAGACGAAAAAAGAGGAACGAAACACTCACGAATCCGGATTCCCCAGGCAAGCTTTCAATCTGAACGGCAAACTTAGCCCCGATCCGCGTATCTCCAGCTTTTTTCTTTTGTTTTTCAGTTTGGTTGACGGCGAGGATCAACACTCTGGCAAGCGACAAGCCGACGCTGAAACTTTCCAAGGAAACGAAGAACGAATGAAGAATTATAAAGTTCATAATTTACGTGGTTTCAATCTGTCAAGCTTATTGCCACTTAAAAATGGATCCTTGGAAATCGTTGATCTGCCTAGTCTGATCCGGAAAATTTTTGACTTCCTTTTTAACATGATTAAGCTGAAACCAAAGGGTGAAAATGAAAATCAATTGTTACACGGTACAATAATAAGCAAATTTTTCGAATATGGAAAAGATGCGTTGAATAATATGAAGGAAAATGTAGAAGCTGCGAATGTTGGTATTCACAATGCAGTGAAAATGGGTCCGTTATCTATAAACTTTGACGTAGGAAAACCATGATCTACTATTATTTATAAAATATCATCATCTTTATATACATACTACATTATATTGTTGCTATAAAACTTTTTTTTTATTGCAAATGAAATTGATTGAAAAATAAATACATAAATTGATTGAAAAGGAATGAAAGATTGTTACAGCCTGTATGTTGCTAAGCATGTATTATCTGTTTGTCACGAAGAAAGATTTTTATGGGAGATAAATTATGTTTTAATCAAAGATAAGTCGAGGGAAAGTGGGTTATTGGATAATTCATCCAATAATTTTTGACAGATGAATTAACGCCTTAAATATCTATGAACACGTATCTCAAAGGTAACGAGAATAACGCGTAAATCTACCATCATTCACGTGTATCACGATTAATGATCACAAAGGTAATGATTCACACGTGAATGGATGTAGAACAATAAGCTATAGATTGGTTAAATTTAAGGTAACGATTGCCGATTGGCTCTTAATTAATCATGTTCAACTGCATAATGCATATTTGATGAGTAAATCCGTTTAGTATTAATATACTGATTATCAATTCATTTGTAACTTTGAATGATCAAATTAACTGGCATGACATATCCTCGAACGGGATGAATTGAATTAAATGGAAACAATTAATAGCAAAATATTACTTATTTTGTTTAATTCATCGTCGACGTGTCACTATAAAATGGTAAAATCAAATCCACTACTTTTGCTTCCTCTTTCTATTCTCTCGGTGACGCGAATTTGTTCAGCATCCATGGAAAAAAATTCCCATCGCTTCCGCGGAAAATAACAAGAAATATCGATACCGTCAACGTGGACGAGAATTTTTATAGAAAATTCCTCTAACGAATTCTTTATTTCCCTTTATTTCCGTGCGTGTTATTTTCAATGGATTATCAGCGACATTCCGTATTTTATTTTTCTAGACGATCACTATTGAATTAAACTTACAAAATGCAAATACTGCGGTCACGGTATTTCTTCGAGAAGAAACTGTCTCCCACGATATTTTCCAATAACTCGAATTTTCATCGGTCGAGGAAAACATGTCCAAACATGCGTAGAACCTTAGATCGTCGAAAACAAATCGTCAACCTTTTTGAGAAATACTTAGAAGTCGAGATGTTTGCGAGGAATGAAGATCGCTTAATTTTTCGACGGTAATTTATTTTTTCGTACGCTCGAATCTTTGGGGAAGTATTCTTTCAAACGGAGGAACTCTTACTTTGGAATCACCTGGAGTCTATGTAAACGTGACCAAGCGTAGCCCGATCATGAGATTTACGGGAACCACAGCTGAATCTTGGACGATTCGTTTCGACCAGGAAATGTGGCCTGCACGAAGCTAGCATTCGATAGGTTCGAATGTTCCGAATCTTCTCCTTGAAACCTTGTCTGTAGAAATATTAATTTCATCCATTGTTTTTGGCTTGCCTAGCAAAAAGTTTCTATAATGCATGTATTTATGTTACTTGTGTTTATGTTATTTATGTTAGTTTTTGAATATTATTATTAATAATAAAGTAAAATATTTAAAATATATTAAAATAATTTATATATCATTTATATATAATTTATATATAATTTAAAATATATTCTAACAAATTTAACGTAGAACGCTTACAAGGGAGTATTTGAATATTTCCGTTTTTTTTCTAGAGATATGAATAAACTTTGTTTATAAGCGGGAATGTAAGTTATTCAATAATTCAGTGGAGTAATTTTATAAAATTTTTTGATCCATTAAACGATTAAACCATGCAGCTTTGACGACATTCTCTATAAAAATTGAACACAAAAATATTGCCTTTATATTTTCTTGTTTCTTATATAATAGACTATAAAATTAAGGTTAAAATATTTTCTGAATTAATAACTTTTGTATTAATGTATAGGTTAGTATCCTTAACAAATGATTTTTAGACGGACATTTTGAAATCTCCGAAATTTCTTCATCTATAAAAAACTCATCAATATATTGTGATCTTTTCTATACCAAATAACTTTTATTAATAAACATACTTTTAAAAACAAAGATATTTAAATGCTCTCATTTAAATGCTCCATTCTGTGCACGCATGCGGAAAAACGCCCAAATATTTTTAATTCCAAAACCAACAGAAAATTTTCGTGACTGTCGCATTTCATGGGATTCAGAACGCGCGTTGGATCCACTGAAGGACGAATGAATAATTTTCTGTTTAAAGTCTTTGCAATGCAGACATTTGAACATTTTCTGAACACATGGTAAATTGCACGCGTGTCCCGGCTAACATGTATGAATTGCATCGGTAGAGAGAAAATGGAACAAGTAGGGAAGATGAAGATCCAGAACCGTCGTGGTAAGAACGCGATTGAAAGGATGAAACTGCGTGATACGAAGAGAAACGGAAACTGGAGTAGCAGGGCAAGCGATAAAGGGGTGGTCAGCTGATGCCAGTGGTGCGTTACTGAGCTACTGACATAAATTCTACTTTTCTCCGTCTCGTGTACTGCCCAACTGTAACTGTATTCACACGACGAACCAATTTTTCACGAGAAACGTACACGTATGTATGCCCACTTTACTCACGCGACTTGTCCCGGCTCGATTTTTCGCATAAATCGCCCAGTTAACGTTTCCTTCAGATCTCCTGGAAAACAATACAAGAATAATTTCCTGATTATACGGTTTTTGCGTATACTTTCCGCCGGCGTATTTTAATGTTTAGTACTTTGTTTGACATGAAGTCGACGATCGTGATGGAGTGAGATAATATTGCCCATATTATCTGAAACTATTGAATTGATAAACATCTCGCGTTACGTGCGTAGGATTCGTCAGAAGAAAGAGAGTTTGTTGCTAGTGCGTGCGTGATCGTAAATTATGAAAACAGATCGTACAAATGTCTGCAGCCTTAGCTTGAGCAATCACAGCTGATTGCGGGAAGTATGAGAAGAGTGAGAGAGAGAGGGAGCGGGGGGGGGGGGGGGGAGGAGGAAGAATGGATGTTTGAGGATTTGAAAGAAAAGAGAGTGAGTTTTTGAGGAGCCCGGCGACTGGACGATGGATGAGATCCGAGAGGATAACGCAGTGAGTATTCTAGCGAGAAAATAGTTTTTTAAATAAACGATTGTACCCCAATACCCTCGTACATTTTACTTCTTACACATGAACGTTTGTTTTTAGTCTCTGGAAATATAGCGTAGTGAGATATTTGAAAATTCGAAAATATTTGAAAAATTCGGTGTTTTTTTTTTTATTCATTTATATTTAAGACCTTTGCGAAAAAGTTATAATAAAATTGACAACTCGAACAATTTTATTTTATTTCGAGAGTTATTCCGTGTATTGATCCGTAAACATGAATGAAAAGTCTCCCTTCAGGCGCGATACACCGTGGTTTTCTTGTTTGCGAAGAAATCCAATTTCTCTGAAAAATTGAAAATGTGTATGGTGTAATAGACGGGGATTATACCGGAAGCTGAATTTTAAACAGAGTCAAACTTTAGCGATGTAGTTGTGTGAGAAGTTGGCGAAAATGGATCGTCGAATAATACGTTGTACGTCTCTCTGATGATGTTGCTCTCTGACGAGAACACCGATCTTCTTACTATACAGTTTGCTGTTTGTAATGTTAGAACGGTTCCCGAGTAACAACGTGGAAAAAGGAAACAACGTAGAGGAATGAAACGCTACAGTGATGAAACGGTGGCGTAACGCGTTTTCGCGAAGCATTGTTTCATAATGCGGAAGTTCACGGTTCTTCCGAGTTCACAAGTTCTTCCGAATTTGGGTCGGGAGCGGAAGTTGTTCGGTCTAAAAGTCAATAAGTTGGTGAAATTTTACTTCAATTATAAGGACTCGAGCGAGGATGACCAAATCGTCTATTTGGCGAAACAAAATCTAGCGAAGATCAATGGGAAATTTGTATTCGTGAAACTTAAATCGACAAAACTATTTTGCTTCGTTCGATAGATAATCGACGATCGTTTTGTGCCGACGTCACTTTTGTGGTTAAAATCGTTCGTTATTGGTTAATCGAAAAAATATCATCGATGTCAAAAGTATTTAGGACAATAAGAATAAAACCTCTCTCCAGCTTAATCAAGCGTTATCGAAGCCAGATTCAAAGCAATTCCGACGATTGGAAAATCAAGTTTAAGAAATTTATGTTCAATTCGTCTGGATTTAATAAATACGGACTTTATATGCATGATTTGTTCGATGACAAGGAACCAGTGATAGGAGAGGCATTGCGTCGACAACCAAAAGAGCTGCTGGATGGGAGAAATTTCCGGTATTCGCAGAAATACGTTTGCCTTACGTTAATCGTTGAACTCAATTATTTGACGAATTTCTATAGAGACTTTTCGCATATTTGCGAAATTGCGTATAAATCCATGACTAACCACGATGGAATTTCTAGATGTATGCGGGCATCTCAATTGGACTTCCTGAAGATACATCTGCCGAAAGAAAAATGGATCACATATGAACAGGATATAGAATATCGATACTTGGATCCATTTATAGAAGAAATCATGGCAGAGAGAATGGAAATTTATAAATTTGGCTGCACTAATTATTCTGATATAGATTGGCCTTATTTTGAAATAAAATAGGAGCATTTGTCTCTTGTTTAATCGTTCTTCTGAATACGCACAGTATGAATGAGAAAAGTAAAGAACATGTAATAATAGAACCGTCATAAGCATTAAAGACCAATGACTGTGAAAACTTGTGAATATATTATCTCGATACATTCGAAATTCTGTCTATTGGATTAAAGAGAACGAAAGTATTCCTCGTTCCCCTTCGAATCGAGTATCTTGATTTGCATTTGGGAGGAAAGTCTAGAGGAAAGTTGGAGGAGACGATAAAAGTGGATGGCGTTAAGGCACGGTTGCGATGTTGGTTCTTGATGATAACTTCGTTATCTCACAGCCTTAATTATGGGCCACATATTCAAGTGACTGCCCCGGCAAGGATGTCGCTCGAGACATTTGAAAGTTGCTTCTTCAAGTGCATCACGCGTTGCGGTGGCAGCCGCCGCCAGCTTCAAGGAGCCTCTTAAAGCTCCACCCTGACCTAGACAGGATTCGCCCTCGGCTCGGTTGTATTCAGAACACTCCGCATTGGCAACCCCTCTGACGCTTTTTCTCATTGCACGTTCGTCTTTATAAACAGGTATTCCGCGTACTATCACTTATTTTACGGGTTACGACTGGAATATTTTCGGCATGGAAAAACCATTTAATTAATACCAAACACAGTACTCGTGATTTTCACGACCGCATATCGAACGTACGTGCTAGTCTCACGAATCTGTACGAGAGATCGATACTTATTTCTTCAAATACGCTCATTTTCTCATGGACCTCTGTATCAATATTTATTTCTCTCTATTCTCTTTGTTCTATTTCCTAATGGAAAAGTGGTTCTCCTTGCTTGTATAATATATTACATTGTTTGGGCATAATCAATTTTAAAGAGTGAAGCATTCCGTCAAATCTGGAAAGAATTGTGTTTTTCTATCGAAAAGTATTCAAGAGGATTTCCAAAACTCAAAAAACGTGCAACTCGGTGTCATTAACATTTAGTCCTTCTCAATCAAAGACAACTGTTAATTACGAAATTACATCCGCATGTCGGTAGAAGTTTCTCGAGGATAAAGAGAGCGTTCTCTTATATTAAATTATGATGCAGCTGTGTACTAAACTGAAAGTTATTTCTGTCGGTATTAAATAAGTACGATATGACAACGTGGTGGTAAATGGTTTCGTTTATTCAGTTGGAAATAAAGAGGCATGACATTAATTCTACTTCTGTTGGATGGTTAATACAATTATTCTCAACAAGTAGAACTTGGCCAGAGATCGTAATTCAAATATTTCGATAGTTATCGATGTGGTGAACGATTCTTACGAACGAACATTATTTCGATTTACCTTATCTACTTGATAGTTTTATTCGGTTTACGAATGGTGAAACAAAATCTCAAAGCGAATCGACCGTGATTCAATGTTCAGTTCAGTTTTCATTTGAAAATTCAGTGTCGTTATCAAATGAATTGTGATTTCTCATTCTGAGTTATGTAGCGACGATGTAATTTATTCGAGGATGCAAGTTTGTTTTCATATACGTCTTAATGACCGGCCATTTAATTCCTCCACTTTGAAAACAATGAACCGTTGCGCGACGAATATATTAAATTAAATTTGCAAGGCCAGTTGGAAAGCTTTGACTTGCACACAAGCGTGATTATGTTGCACCCAAAGGTAACTTGAACTTCGACTTGAACGATGCGATCTTGGCTGATCGTTCTAGGCTTGTTTGCAGAGGTCGGGAGGTATCATCAAAGTTTCACCAAGAGACTTTATCTTCTCGCTGGAAATGTTAGCGAGGCTGTGCGAAGGTATTCGAAAATTACGCAATCGATTAATGTTTTGTTCAAGATTGGATTTGCTTGATATCGGTAGATACGTGTTAACAAGATATACAGGGTGACGAGACATCAAATAACTCATAAAATATTTGTTGTACGAAAAAATGTTCTGATAGAAGTTGCATTGCTTCCAGAGGAATATATAATATTGTAATCATTTTTATGTTATTTTGCTTTTTTATCAAGATGTGAAGATCACCTTCTACTTTTTAAATGGAACAGTTAATATTTCTTCCCGAGTTCGGATAAAGCGTTGAATTCTACATAAAAAACTTTTATGTTATTTTGCTTTTTTATCAGGGTGTGAAGGTCGCCTTCAACTTTTTAAATGGAATAGTTAATATTCCCGAGTTCGGATAAAGAATTGAATTCTACATAAAAAGGTATTATATCAGATAAGGTCTAAAATACATAATTACTGAGATTAACGATCTTGATGTAATACTTTTTTATGTTGAATTCAACGCTTTATCCGAATTCAAAAAGAAATATTAACAGTTCCATTTAAAAAATCGAAGGTGACCTTCATACCTTGATAACAAAGCAAAATAATACAAAACTGATTACTATATGCCCTCCTGGAAGCCATGCAACTTCTATCTGAAACATTTCAACAAATATTTTACAAGTTCACGACTCACCCCGTATATTCTGGATGATCGAGCACGATTGCTCGGGCTAATTAAACATCATTTTCCTCCGAATAATAAATGAAATTCTGACTTCCTAGCTGTGTGCTATGTATGCGTTTCCCTCTATCGCTGTGACCAACAGTTTCGTTTATTTTGTTTATTTGAACAAGGAGGATGTGCTGCGGAAGGAAAATAAATTTTTCCCGAAGGAAGAACCAGCGAGAGGATCTGATTAGTCTCTTGTCTCGTACCAGGAAGAAGAAATCGCGCTGAGAAACAGCGGTATTAATAAAACGCGCAAACACGAACAAAACGGCGAGTGAAGAGGCATTTTAATTTTTCGTAGAGTCCACTGAGTCCACCGAGTCAAAACTGATTAGTGATTTTTCTTTTTCTCGTTTTGTTAATAGCTGTATATTCTGACGGCATAAATTTGATTATCGCATTACTCGCGAGACGAATTATTGTACAGTAGATGGTTTATTAAGACGAGGAAGTTGCACTGTATTATTCTACTCGGTGGTAATTTGCATACATCGCTGGGTCGCTTCTTATTGCTTTCAATTCATTCCAACTTACAGTACGTGAATTATGTTACGTTAATTAAAGTGATTACACGTGGCGAAGAATAAATATCCAGGAATATTATTCTTTAATAATACATAGTTTACCCGCATAGAGAGAATTCATAATTACATTGGCGTAATTAAAGTGTAGCAATTTCACATCACTTTCTCCTAAAGAGATGCAGAATTTTTAGCGACGATGTGCCAAAGCTTTTCATTGAAAGATTCGGAAACGTGGCAATGAAAAAGAAAGATGAATCAACGCGTATAAATTTCCGTTTCTCTGGGCACGGCGACGAGTTCATCGGAACCGAGAAATCATATTTACTTTTGATGGAAAATGAAAGGAAAACATCGAACGCGGTTCAGTATTATATTTTCCATTCGATTTTCCGAGTCATGTAAATTTTAGCGACGATGAAAGGCACTTGATAATTCGTCTGTTTCAAGCAGAGAACATTTTTTGCAATGGATTTACAGTAGTTGGAATTAATATATTAAATTATATACTTGTATTTAATTCTACAAATAACCGTGTATTCTATATTTTCCAGAAGGTGATTGTGACAGAGACATTCGTGTATAACAATTTCATTTCCAGTATATGAAAAAAATTGCGGATAAGAGATTTATCTCCATTTACTTCTGTAGCGTGCCGATCTGGTTCTACGTATTTTCTTTTCTTGACGTACGAGCCGATCGGTGGCTCGCTCGCTGCCTTCAACGTTAATGAAGTGCAGCTAGTTCAAAGTAAAGTTTGATATTGATTAAAGAGTTTGAATTGAATCCCTGGAATACACTGGGTTTGGGGACGCGAACCGGCAGACACGCGGGAGGTTTTTTCTTGCTGACTTGAAAGTGCGAATAAGACTGTTTTGTTTTTTTGTTTCGGAGTCGGCCTTTATATATCCGAGCCCTCTTTGTTTCCTCTCCGATCCTGTGTGATCGGAAAGGTGGGTTTTTCCAAACATTTTCAGGGTCAGTTCCAAGAAGTAAATTTGACAATTGCTTGGGCTGTATATATGTTGATGACGATGCGAGGATAATGTAGGAAGTGGTAATGTGAGGAAATGCGTTTCGTCTCAGAGTCGCTGCCGAGACTCATCAGTGGGGCTGATGGCAGCGACCCCTTAACCCCAGACGCTTGTGTTTTTTCTAACTACTCGCTAGGCTGGACGGTCACCCCATCCTAGCGGTGTTTCACACTCTGTTTTTGCTCAACATCGAATATCGTTAGACTTCGACGCTAGGCGCACAGCCACTTGCGGCTTGTACAAGTCGGTGTTCGAAACTCGTACTCGAGGGACTCTAGGCCGCTACAGAACTAACGGTTCTATCTTCCGTGTCCTGCCGTTTTATTAGTGTCCTGTTTATGGTGGGGACCGATGCGATAAAGAAACTCATCGAGCCTTGGAATTAAGAGTCAAATATGACTACAANGAAAAAGTTACAAGACAGGAGTTTATTGTCCCTGGCTCGATGAATTTATTTGTCGCATCACATTTTGACCCTCATTGTGTTCGGTAAGACCGAACAACTTCTATGTTTATCTTTACGTTTAAGATACCTTTTTGACTGCATAGTACAAAATTGATCGATGCCTCAGCAAGATACTCGTTAAATGTATGATCTTGTCAAAACACGATGTTCATCACTTACGTCAGAAGGCATATCCTACACTACATTTTCTACCAAATTTTTTCAACCTAACATAATTTCTCTTGAAAGCTGCGGCAGAATCAATCATTCACAAATCTATACACGAGGACAAGTTTTCGTATATACGAACGTAGAAAGAATTTACCATGGAATCTCGTTATGGAACAGTATTCGTACGCATTGCGCTGGTTTCTTACAAAGAGAATGAAGACCATGGATTTTATATCTATTAACAGACAGTTTGCTATCAAGGGATTGTTCTTCTGACTTGAATGTAATGCTACCCTCAGAGTGTCGGGAAATGCTCAGGAGATGATCTG